GTGTCTCAGAGTCGGCTAGCTGTCAGGATTAGTAGCAGTTGCCCCAATTAAATCATGAGTCTCGAGCCAAAGTTCCAAAACTTCCAAAGGATTTATTGGGAGTAACCATGCTGGCACTGCCTGGGTGTAGCCGACTCTGAGACACATTGTTCACTACCCTTGACCCTGGTTTTCCCTCCACCCCCCTGGGTGTATCGTAATTCATATTCTCCAATGGGACACCTCCCTAGCCCAGAGTCATCCATCACGCTCTCCAGTTAGATATTTGCGGCAGCAGAAACTTTGGTCACCTTGTTACTGAAAAACTATTTAAGGAATGCACTTTCAATTTCCAAGTTGCCGCACTGCTCAACCTCTCCCTTTCTGTTCGCAACTCTTAACAAGACCCAAGAAAATATTTTATGAGTTAACAAATGATAAAATAATAATAGTGATTTGTTTTCAGGGGAGGTGGCTAAAGGTTGTAAGCGTCTACAGAATCGGTTTGATAACAGGGACCGAGAATGGGCCTCCTACACCTGCGTTCTGGGTTTCCATGTTTTTGGTAACTATTTTAATTGTTTGGAGGGTGGTTGGGGGTTTTTGTCAGCGGCCCAGAATCCCCTGGAATGGGCAGGCATCACCAATCGAACCGAAGCGATCCAATTAAATCCTCCTTTTTCTTTTCTTCTTCTCTTAACCTCCCAACCTCCCAGGGGTTTGGCCGGATGGCTCGGACGGCACGGATATCAACTCCCTTTGCCGTTCTCACAACGAACGAGTGGTAGCCGTGGCGGACGATTTTTGCAAAGTGCACCTCTTCCAGTACCCGTGCGCCAAGCCCAAGGTAGGAGGGAGGGCAGTAAGGAAGAAGGGCACCCTTCCTGGGAAGGAGAATCTCTCTCTCTATAAAAGCGAAATATGCCCCTCACGCATCATCACAGCATCTCCAAAACCGTAAAGCCTACAAACTTGAAATTTGGCACGTATGTTCCTCTTGGCTTCTAGGGGCTCACTAAGAAAGGATTTTTCCAAATGATCCTCAGAGCATTTAGAGTATTTCCTATATTATTATTATTAATACACTCTGATGCTAAGGAGTTCGACTCCGCCTCCCCACCTGGAAAGAAATCTCTTCCAAATGCAAAACACAAGCAGAGGAGAGGAGGTTCAGTTTCAGAGCAGCAAGCAGCTTTAGTACAGAACAGTTGAGCTAAGCCACGCCCAGGCTCCTTGCTGTCTCCTCTTCACTAACACAGCAAATACTGATTCAGTTTCCAAACAGCCCTCAACTCTCTTTCACTCTGACAGAACGCTAGCCAGATGAATACCGATGGATGCTGGTAGCCAGAGGCAGAATTTTTTCCTCTTATTTTCCTCCCCAAACACTAAGCCCAATCACATAGTTTTGTTGCGAAGCACATGGGTATCCAGATAGTTAATCAATATTTTGGTTGGGAGGTAATGCCCAGGCATTGTTGGATGGTTCTTATCCTTGAAAGAGACTTCTTCAAACAACTTAGGTGTATGTACAGGCAAGTCCTTGACTTACAACTGCTCATTTACTGACCATTGGAAGTTGCACTACATTAACATGACAAGATAAATACATACACACATACATACAAAATTATGTATATACCCGTATATATGACACAGAGAAACAACACAGTTTAGTTCGGGTTTTTGTCAGCGCCATTGTAACTTCAAATGGTGACAAAACGAAGGGTTGTAAGTTAAGGATTATCCATCTCCGCATTTTTCCGCCCTCTAAAGACTGATGGGAGAATCCCACCCCACTTTGGGGTTTTGGGGGTGTCCCAATAAAACAGAGTGGTTTCTAAATAGAATAGAATAAAATAGAATTCTTTATTGGCCAAGTGTGATTGGACACACAAGGAATTTGTCTTTGGTGCAAATGCTCTCAGTGTACATAAAGGAAAATAAAATACATTCATCAAGAATCAAAAGATACAACACTTAGTGATAGTCATAAGTTGCTAATAAGCAATCAAATCATACTAGGAAACAAATAAAACAATATAAGTTTTAAAGATACAAACAACACGGTTGTAGTCATAAGTTGGAAGAGATAGGTACTAGGAAGTGTTAGTATAATCTAGTAGTAGGGGAATAATAGTAATGCAGTTTTAGTAAGTAAGTTGACCATGTTGTGGGAATTAGTTGTTTAGCACAGAGATGTAATACCGAAAAAAAACTCCTTGTGTGTCTAGTTGTTTCTAAGTGTTTCTTCTCTCCACCCCCCACATCCTCGTTCTTCCACAGGCTCCCAGCCACGTCTACATCGGCCATGGCAGCCACGTCACCAATGTCCGCTTCACCCACGACGATGGCCACCTCATTTCCATGGGGGGCAAGGACACAAGCATCTTCCAATGGCGGGTCCTGGGGGGCAGCCCTCCGGCCAGCCGTTCCTTCTCCTCCGTTTCCTCGTACGAAGCTGGGTCCAGCACCTGAAGTTGCCGAAATCCGGACCGGGAACATATTTCAGGATGGCGACCGAATCCTCGCGTGGGTGGGGGAAATGCTCGGAGAGATCTCCAACGTTGATCGGAGGATCCCATATCTTTTTTTTGGACCAGTTTTTTTGGCCTCCTTTCCGCCTTCCGCTTCGTTGGAGGATTTTCGTTTGCTAACCGTGCCGTCGTTTGCTTATTAACCCAAGGTGTAGGGGCAAGCAGCAAAGCAGACCAGGCCGAACAACCCGCCGTGCGAAATAAAACGTGGTGCGTGAAATGTGATGCGTCGAAAAAGCGTCACCTGGTGGGTTGGGAGGATGGAGAGGCTGCTGAGAGAGACAGCAGGAAGGTAAAAGAGCCAGAATGTTAAAGTATTGAGATTTAATAGATGACCGGCTGTTGTAAGCCTGATGCAATGAGGATGAATCAGCATGGTTATTGCCGCTTTAAAACAGGATGGATCCCACAGGGTTTTACCACTTTAAGAAGCTGTCTCTCTATATATGAGGCCATGAGAGGACATACCTCTCTCTCCTTGTGTCCTGTATCCATTGTAGAGTTCTCTGTGTAGAGTTACGAAGATTGATTGCTTGTCAGGTATTTGCCTCCGGGTTTTGCTCGGCTTTCGCTCTGTACAGACCTCAAAAGTTCTGGATTTTCAAAGCCTGAGAGAAGAGGGGGAATTGGATCGCTGCTTTATCCCTGTTCAGGTAGTCCTTGACTTAGGACCCAATCTGGGCCGAGAATTTCCGATGCTAAGCAAGACGCTCGTTGACAACCCTTTTCTTAAACAACTTTTTTTTTTTTGGGCCACGGGTGTTAAAGCAAATCACTGCCATCATTCAGTGAGTCACCCAGTCGTTAAGCGGATCTGGCTCCCCCCCCATCGTTCAGCAAGGGGCGCCCGATTTCATGAGCTTTTCGCCACGGCGGTTAAGCCGAGGTTCTTAAGCGAATCAGGAGGGCGTTAAACAGATGTGGCTCCTTTTCTTGATTTTGCTTGTTGAAAGCCAGCTGGGAAGATCCCCAATGGTGATCCTGTGACCTCGTGACCATCATAAATACATGCAGTGTGATCACGTGACCCAGGGGAATGCCGCAACAGTCATAAGTGTGAAAAATGGTCATAAATCAGATTTTTTTTTCAGCGTCGTAACTCCAAACGGACACTAAATGAACAGAATTGTTGTAAGTCATGGATTGCCTTTATAGCACTGCTTCCCAAATCTGGTGAATTACCTAAAATTGAGTAAATGTGTTTTGGGATGTTTTGGTAGCAGTGCACAAACTCATTAATGGTTTTGCAGAAGGAACGATGAAACTCACGTCAAGCCATCCATGCAAAATGTTTTTTTTTGGGGGGGAAAGGACCGTTTGGGATCCCTTTGCTTACTAAATTCAGGATGAATCTCCTATGATGAGGCAGTGATGGTGGCGTGGACCTCACCGAAAATTAAGAAATAAATAAAATTAAATATCTAAGCCAGGGGTCTCCAACCTTGGCAACCTTAAGCCTGGAGGACTTCAATTCCCAGAATTCCCCAGCCAGCTTTGCTGGAGGACTTCAATTCCCAGAATTCCCCAGCCAGCTTTGCTGGGGGACTTCAATTCCCAGAATTCTCCAGCCAGCTAGGGAATTCTGGGAGTTGAAGTACTCCAGGCTTAAAGTTGCTAAGGTTGGAGACCCCTGAATTCTAAGCACTCACGCCCGTGAAGTAGGATTTTCCATTCTGACCTTCATAAAAGTGCACAAAATGAAAATGTTCGTTGAACTCCGAAAACAGTTTGGGGTTTTAGAAGGAAAAAGTTAGGAAGTACTCCATAAAAAACCAACAACTCTTGATTCTGTTTTTCCCTATCATTTTGGACCTGGCTGGATCTAACGTGTAAATAGGCACACAAAAAGGACAGTTTAGATATTTGGAGAGGGGAATAATAAATGTTTGCATCTCAAATCCTGATAAGCCTTTCTCTTTTTTTTTCCTGCTGGATCTTTTGGGTTTGGCAGGGCAAAGATCACCAAATCTAACCCTGGTTTAGTGTGACCGGTTTTGAGTTACGTGGAGATTTCCTGCCAAAATTTACTTCTCATTGGAAAACATTGAACTATGTTGTACATATACAGGTAGTCCTCAATTTACGATGGTTAAGTCGTGGCGGTCGTAAAGCAGGTCACTATGGGCATGACTGAGGGATCCTGGGAAATGTAGTCCCTATTCCAAGTTCCTTTTTTTTGTTTACATCAGCGTTTTTCAACCATAGCAACTTTAAGATGGGTGGACTTCCACTCCCAGAATCCCCTAGCCAGCATGCTTAATAAAGGTGGACTTCAAATTCCAGAATTTCCCAGCCATCAAACCATTTACTCAAACCAAACAGTTGTAGGATTTCCTTCTGTCATTGTGCCATGTATCACTGTGTCATGCTTTAAGATGGGTAGACTTCAACTCCCAGAATCCCCCAGCCATCATGTTTTAAGATAGGTGGACTTCAACTCCCAGCATTCTCCAGTCATCATGCTTTAAGACGGGTGGACTTCAACTCCCAGAATCCCCCAGCCAGCAGGCTTTAAGATGGGTGGACTTCAACTCCCAGAATCCCCCAGTCAGAATGCTTTGAGATGGGTGGACTTCCACTCCCAGAATCCCCCAGCCAGCATGCTTTAAGATGGGTGGACTTCAACTCCCAGAATCCCCCAGCCAGCATGTTTTAAGACTGGTAGTCGTCAACTCCCAGAATTGAAGGCATGAAGCCTAGGGATTTCTGGGAGTTGAAGTCCACCCCTCTTAAAATCCCTAATGTTTAGAAACACTGCTCTTAAATTGGCAGGATATCCTACTTATTGCATGTGTGTACGTGTTCATCCACGCGTTGACTGCACACTTTCCAACTTGACAGTTGTGACACCTCTACAACAGAGAAGAATTTCTGGCCGGGCTTGTTCCCTTTTACGAAAGGGAAGTCGTGCGGGTAGGAAAGAGTTAACCTCCCATTCCGGGGGAAAAAAGGCCGATGTTGACCGAAAGCACTCGATTCTACCCTCTCTGCCGAAGATCGGCGGAAAGGCACGAAGGAGCCCTCTCTTCCTCCGAAGACCCGCCCATTCCGAAGTTCGGTGGGGAAAAAAAAGCAAAAAGCCCTTCTACGAAGTGGCCCGAAACCCTCCGGGGAGAAACACCACACGAGCGTCTTCGTCCCTTTCCGGCGCCACTCGGGAATTGTCCCCGCCCTCCATCCCAGGACCTGGGAGAAACCTCCTTTTCCGGAAAAGCCCGAGACGCTTCCGCCGCTTGGCTCGATAGCTCCGGTGGGTGTTGCGCTTTCCCAACGAAGCCCGACCGGAAATGCCCGAGCGGTTCCGGAGATTGCCGAAGGGCCGGCCCAGGCTGCGTGAGGGGGAGCGACGACGGCTTGAGGCGGCGGGAGGCGATGAAGAGCGGCCGGGCCCGGAGTTGCTGAGGCGGCCGGGAAGGGGACGCCGAGCGCCATGGCGGCCAATATGTACCGGGTGGGCGGTAAGGAGGCGGCGGCGGCTCTTCTTTTGGCTCTTTTATTTGGCCCGGCGAGAGGGAGGGGCGGGCGGGGGGGCGCCCAAGGGCTTTATTTAAAGCACAAAAGGGGGGGGGGGGTGGGTCGCTTCGGGGGGGGCACCAAGTTGGGAGGGGGAGGGGGGGGGGGGG